TGTCTTGCCGCTATGAACCCTCAATATTTCGAGTACCAGATCGACAGAGGAGTGGAATGGATTAGAATCTACTCACCGGGCACGTGGCGACCCGTTCCCAAAGATGCTCCAGTGCTCCCCCCGGCCTACGCTTCCACGTATCGGGAGTGGCGCAGGTCATATCGCTTCCAAGTGTACTGGTCCGAAGACAGCACCGGAGGAACAACAACGGATCCCATTGTCACGCCCAGTTCGTATGTGTCCTACCACGTGTGGGAGTATCGAGACTGGCAAACACGAGGGTATCAACGACTTGGAGCTCCTTTACCAGCCATTGGACTCGCGATGCTCGTGAATGCAGACGACAATTCCTCGGTGGACTCATCGGTTCCGGATGGGGCGTGGCGAGAGCCGTCACCACCACCATTCTATGATCCTTGGAACGATTCGGGGTGATACTTGAGCAACATGTCGGATAAATTGACGTGGTTGTGCTTGCCTTGCATGCGATTCCATGTTGGGTTGTCTTGCTTGGTGTTGTGCGTTCCGTCTTCAGCTGTTTGCCGCTCTCATTTGAATCTGAGCGGTTTGCCTGGTTGATATGTTCAATAGTACAATGTATGGCGTAGCAAGATGGGTCCTGCCTCGCTACTTTGACTACGACATCGTCAATGGCCCTGCGAATACGAGAGTAGAATGGATTCGGATCTATGTCCCGGGTCCGTGGCATCCAGTCGCCGAGAACACCTTGGGACCAGCCCCGGATGATGCAACCGCCTATCGGGAATGGCGCAAGGTTTACCACTTCGAAGTGTATTGGCCAAGGGATAGCACAGGCGGCACCAATGCAGGCGCTGTTTCGCAGCCGGTATCTTATGCATCCTTCTATACTTGGCATTATAGAGACTGGGTCACCAGGGGATACCAACGGCTGGGTCGCCCACACCCTAGCATTGCGCGGCCAGTTTTAGCTTCGGGCGCACCGGACCTCATGTACGCTGGATTGACCTCTTCATCGGCATCCTCCAACTCGGATGGTGGCTGATTGACCTTGATACCGGAGCCGTGCATTGCTGCAAAAGGGATTTCTTGCGCTGTGACAGTTGTGTCTCTTTTAGTAAGTGTTGTCTGCAGCCGTACACCTATCAATTTGTCCTTCCGGGTTTGCGTTGTCATGCCGTGGCTGGAATGGTGTCCGGATCCTCAACAACCAGATGCCCAGTGGGTCAAGATCTTTCATCCGGGATCATGGACTCCACATGAAGAACATGATGCTCCACCGCCACCGCACACGTATAGAGAGTGGAAGGAGTTCTACGATCCCAACCCGGCCCAAGTCGGTGAGCTGCTCAATGTCGCCAAGTGGTACAAAAGAGACTGGGCCACAGAGGGCTATCGGAGAGTCGCTGCCCCTCAAGCTGGTCATGACTTTGATTCTATGTCTTTTCCTGATCATCACAGCGTGGCCACGCAATCCGCGGCATTGAGTATGTCACCGCAGTTGTTAGAAGCGATCCTTAGATCCTCGGATGCGGCGGATTTCTCTACCGAGGAATTGACTCGTCTCCAAGAGGGGATTTCTCAACAACTGTCAGCACGCGCGCATCAGGCTTCCCAACTCCATCAACCTGTGCGGGCATCACGTGGAATTACACCATCGGAGACGGTTGGGGTCTCCGAACCATACCGGCCAGTTAATCCTTCCGACAGCTGCAAAGCCCAGGCGAGACCTATCTTCGAGCTAAATGAGGACTAGATGCACGCGAGTGGGGTAGCGTACAAAATAAGGGTGGTTTTCATACTTGCATTACCTTGCTTGATTGTTGCTTGTACATGGTTGTGCATGGTGCATGTTCCTGTTTCAGCTGGATCGGAGCCCGCGATACGCTTTGCCTCTTACTTCGACATGGACATCGAGGATTCGAAGCAGCACCCATGGCTCGAATACTCGGTCTGGCAGGATCAGGAGTGGGTGCGGATCTACACTGCAGGACAGCCTCAGCGATGGCACCGTGGTGAAACTGTACCTGATCTACCAGACAATTCTTTTCGGGAATGGCAGCGGGTGACTGATTCCAATGGGCGCACTGGCGAGCACGATCAGGCATGGACCATCCGTGACTGGCAGCATCAGGGATACCAGCGCATTCTGTCTCGAATGGAGTCCTTCACAACTCATCATTCGCATGATCAATCTCTTGGTGAAGTTCGGAATTCCGATGCCATTCCAGTTGAGGAGACGTTCACCTATGCAACTCCGTTTTCTCATGGTGATCGCTCGACTACGTCACAACTCGCTTCAGTCCTCTATGGCGACACTCGTGGTGCTCAACGTGGTGATCTCTCGTTCCCGTCTTCTGAGCGGTTTAGGGCTGTTTCTCGTTCCCCTCGCCGCGGTGGATTTTTTGGTCAACGATAGGGACACGGGGTTGAGCATGTAATCTTCCTTCGGAAAAGGAGACTCCTCGCCCCTCATTGAGGGGCGTGTGTGTGCGGAGTGACAGAATGCCCTGTCACCACCCTTTCGGTTTCGCAGCAGGGGGACCATCCGTTTGCTGTGTGCGATGGTCCAACGAAGCGGCCACAGCAAATGCGGATATCGAGGCTGATCACCTCGACGTACCTGCGACATTTGGAGTTGGTGATGTAAAGTCCTTTTGGCCTGTTGTTTCTCTCGCTGTGTGTGCTTCATGTTGAATTTGTAACGTTTTCGCTGCTAGACGGAAACCAAGTGACTGCAAGCCAAACCTACACCCACTCGAGACTCATCGGTTGTACTCGAGACTCACCAGTTGTACTCGAAAGATTAGCACTCTCCTTTTGGAGTTCAAGTGTGTGTGTTGCGTGTTGTGTGTTTGTGCTTGTGTTTGTGTTTGCGTTTGTGTGTCTCTGTGAGTGTGTGGCTGTGCGTGTGTGTGTGTGCGCGGTGTTGCCATGTTTCTGTGTCATGTTTGTGTCAGTGTGTCAGTCTGCCAGCTGTGTCAGCGAGTCAGTGTGTTTGGCCGTACGCGATTGTGTATGTGCCCATGTTTGTGTCAGTGCTTGTGCTTTCGTTTGTGAATGTGCGTGTGCGTGTGTGTGGTTGCATCGTGTTTGATGTGCATGTTTGTGGTTGCGTTGGTGTGTGCATGTGGATCTATGGGTGGTCCTCGCGAAGCTTCCGAAGGCGTTTGGAACAGCCTCCGGAGCCGAACATGTATGTGTATATAAATAGATATGTATATATATATATATATATCAGCGGAGTTGTTTTTGCCAAGTAGTCGCTGAGTATTCAGGGGGGAACTCCGTTTATGTTGCGTAGACACTAGTCGAGTAGGCAGTCCGCGTAGGCTGTTCAAGCAAATCCTGCGTAGGCAGGTTTGCGTAGGCGTGTTTTACGTTATACACCAGCTTGTTGATACGACTGCGGAGAAACGCGAGAGAAAAGCCTGCGTAGGCACTCCACGTAGGCGCTTGTTGCCGCGTAGGCTCGCGTAAGCACCCGTCTCCGCGTAGGCATGGCTGCCAGCGTAATTATTCGGCCCTCCCCCTTAAGTGCTTTCAGCATTCATTTGTTTGTTGAGATTTCAGGAGGCTGAAACTTGAGACCCCTCAGTGGATTTACGTCCATAGTGTTCAGCTTTCAGAAATAGGGACCTCTCGGCATTTTGAGTTGCTGGAGGCTGAAAACACCGAGACGTCCATAGCTTTCAGCCTGCAGAAGCAAACGTACAAAGTCCTGTACTCTCTTCCAACACTATGTTTAGAAGTGTTAGGGGATATGAACTGCCTCAAGCTTGTAATGGATAGCACACTTCTGGCGACAGAAAGTCGATGTGTATAAATACATACATACATGCGTGCATGCATGCATGCATGCATGCATGCATACATGCATGCATGCATGCATACATACATAAATACATACATAAATACACACGCACATAAATACAGACAGACAAGACAGAGACAGAGACAGAGACAGAGACAGAGACAGAGACACAGACAGAGACAGAGACAGAGACAGAGACAGAGACAGAGACAGAGACAGAGACAGAGACAGAGACAGAGACAGAGACAGAGACAGAGACAGAGACAGACAGACATACCTACGTGCATACATACATACATGCATATATGTATATATATATATATGTATACAAATGTATAGAGATACATCGATATAATTATATATATATATACAGGTATCTTTAAAAAATCAAAAAACAAAAAAAAGATGTAGGTATACACGGTATATATGCTTGCGTCTCTGCATTTGGACAGGTGCGGGATGTGGTGGTGGAGATTGTCGGCATGGAGGACTTGGTGGATGCCCGTGCCTCAGTTCGTGCCAGCGAGTCGATGGGGTCGATGGGGTCGAGTCGGAGTTCTTTGGGTTCCTCGGTCCATGACGTTTTGTTTTGTTTTTGTGTTTTTTTTTGGGGGGTCCTTGGGGTGAGGGTTGGGGGCGGGAGGGTGGGGGGGAGGGTGGGGGGGAGGGGGTCTTGTTGAGTTTTCTACCTGCTTTCTTTTTGTTGTGAGGACACCCCGTTGATGCAAGCTGGCCTTACCAGCCAGTCAGCCGTGGACAGCTCAGTGTGATGGCGCCAAATCCCATGCAAGAATCATTACATGCTAGCCGAGAGGCTTTGGCACCACAAGTCGGGGGTTAAACCATGCGCGCAAAAGGTGCAGCTTCCTGCCAAGCAAAAAGACGGTTGATTGAGGTTCTTCTCCGGAATTCCCTGAGCAAGCAGCTACCCGGTGCCAGCGGAGATCTCAATTTTGGCCTCACCTGTCAGCCTGCAATGGCTTCCAAAGGTTAAAGCAACACACACGGAGGTGAGAAGGCTTAGTGATGAAGGGTTCTTTGCTTGGTGTAAATTCTGCTTGGTCAATGAGGCGGTTTGCAGCGTCTTAGACTCTTGCCTCATGCGAAGGAGCTGCTTCGTTGCTTCGGGCAGGCAGTGACATAGCCTCAAGAAGTGGGGCGGACACCTCCATAGCCACCGGCGGAAAGCGCGCCAAGTCACTCAGCCATGGCGCGCAATGAAGAGAAAGCCATGGCGGCGCTGAACAGATGGACCGCCCAGAAGCGGGACATCGAGATGCAGAAGAACATGGGGAAAGCCACATACATGGGAGGCGCCCTCCCGGATACGGCCGCCTTTGGGCCCTACAAGAAGAACAAGCGTCCCAAGATCGCCTCTGAAGTGAGCAGCGTCAAGGAGTGCGAGCATTGGCGGGGAGATATTCTCAGAGGAGTGGCCAAGAAGATTGCAGAGATCCAGAACGCGGCCCTAGGTGAGCACAGGATCCGCGACCTCAACGATGAGATCAACAAGGACCTCAGGGAGAAAGGATACTGGGAGGACCAGATCAAGAAGCTGGGCGGTCCAGACTACAAGAATCAAGCACCGCGGGAGGTAAGGTGTCAGAAAAACAAGTCCTAAGTGAAGATGTGTTTGTTGAACGCGTGCTCGTCAGCATGCGTCGTTGCCGGTCAGGTGGAGACTTATGGTGCAGAGCTTGCCGCCCACAGCGGCTACAAGTACTTCGGTGCGGCCAAGGACTTGCCCGGGGTTCGGGAGCTTTTTGAGACCGAGATCGTCCCAGATGCCCCCCGCAAGACAAGGCAGGATTCGCAAAGAGCTGCCGCTGTGACTTGTTCGCGAGGAAAGTTGTTGTTTGTGTTTTTTTTTTTTTTTCCAGAGGTAGTTGCTTAGGCCTGCGGCAAGCGGGAGACACAGGCTAGTCATGTTTGCAAGCCTGACATTACTCTTCCTCAGCATGCCCCACAGCACAATAACATGGTCGTCGTTGCGAAACATTTTACATTTTTGCTTGTTGTGGTTTAGTGGTTGAAATCCAACCACTTAAACTGCTCAAATTTTAATTTTTTGCTCCCCTTCCAAGGTCGACCCAGATAAGTCTGTGGCGTGATCGCGCCCTGTGGCAGGAAGCAGTTGTTCCAATACATCCAACCCGACTATTATGGCTGGCGCGATGAGGAGGACGGCATGCTGGTGCTGTCGGAGCAGATGTTTGAAGAGGAGGCAGTGACGAAGGCCATGGCCCAGTGGAAGCAGGCAGGGACAAAGTGCGCAGACATGCGCCCCTGAGAAGTTTGCTTCTGGAAGTAGCAAATGTCTTACAACGACTAGAGCAGACCATGATGGCAGCTAGTTCTTGTCCAGTTCGGATGTTCAACCGCCAGATCATGAGTTGCAGCTAGTTGTGATGGGTGTCCAAGGTTAGTTTGACTAGAAATAGATGGCACTGGTTTAGATGGGTTTTATTCCATTTACAGGGCCATCTATTTTGACAAAAGGCCATGCTAGTTGCCCCCTTGTTTCAGTGAGCCTTGCGCAGGAGGAGGCCAACAAGCCCGCCCCGGCCAAGAAGCGCAAGAAGGGCGACAAAGACAAGGAAGAGAAAGTGCCCGAGAAGGAGCCAGAGGTCGAAAGGCCCAAGGAGCAGGATTTTGCCGACTTCAAGGCGTACGTGGATGTACCCACCATGGAGGACATTGAGCGCCTCATCGTGCAGAAGAAGAAGGAGACCTTGCTGAAGAAGTATGCTCCCAATGAGTCCAACGACTGATGGCTGCGAACAGTGCAGTCGCAACTGCCATGGCGGGGGTTCAAACCCCCGGAAGAGCCTAGGACCACCGGCGATCCCAGGCTGGGACAAAGCCGAATTTGTGGTTTCACCGTCTAATCAGTCGGGCACCTCCCAGAGAGCGTGCGTGCAAGGTTAGAAAAACATTGCGTACAAGTCACCTGCCTTGGCCTCTGGCTTGAATCGACAAACCTGCAGCAAGCAGCCTTAGCCTTGCCTCACACAAGCTAACATGTGCGAGGGCCAATGAAAGACAGAGTGACTCTCATGCTGCGGACCTCTACTCGGCCCGGCCCAGGCTTGCCTTTCACTATGATGTTTGATTATCCTTCGTCAGGGCCACAGTTTGCGTTTCGGCGCGTGGAATCACCTCACTGCCTTGCAGGGTCAGCGCCCTCACAGATTTCTTTGTCGCAAGAAGTGGCCCGCTGGACCACAAGCGTGTCCAACACTTGTAGCTACAGACTGCAGCTGTGCGTACTTCTTGCCGACGCAATGCTTGAACACGGCTGTACTGCTTCCAAATGAGTTGTGTGTGTGTGTGTTTCATCCACCTCCATGTGCGGAGGAGGAGGAGGAGTCGCAGAGCCTGGTGGTGGCAACAGGAGGGCAGGCGCCAGTTTTTAGATGTTCTCTTGGCTCCTTTGCTTGTATGCCATGAAACTTGCGCGATGTGGTTGCTGCCGACCGCGTTGCTTTCCCTTTTTTGATTTCTGATCCTTGGCACATCCCTTCGAGCAGTCAATCTTTGCTTGAGGCTGTTGCAAAGCTCAGCTGCTTGGCAGCATGTGTTAGCTGCAGTCTTGTAGATAGAGTGCTCAAGTCAAAGTTGGGTATGGGTCAAAGTTATGCGACTAGGATATGGACCGCAGGTGTTAGTCCATGTTCCGTTTACCAGGGCAACCCATTTTATGGGGTTACCCAAATTGCCCCGCAGCCTTCAACTCAACTTGAGGCAGCTCCATGGACCCTCATCTTGCCCATCGGCAGGCACATCCGTCTCTGGGTCATGTTGCAAGAAGCACAGCGCAGACCTTGAAAATGGTGCTCAGAGAGACGCCCGCTGATCGTAGGTTCGGAAAATCGTTGAAGACATCGTTGGGATGGAGGACTTTCCAGATGCACGGCTCTTGGCTGTCCTTCCAGGCAGATCAGCTGCAAACCAATGCTCGTACATGTTGTCTAGGTTTCTGTGATTTCGCAGCGGTTCAATCATTGTGTGAACCTGTGCGTCAACATTCTCCAATGGCAGCATGAAGTATTCATCCTGCGGTGTGAATGTACTGTGTGCTGCTTGCCTATGTATATATATATATTATGTATATATGCATATATATATATATATATATGTGTGTGTGTTTGCTTGCCTTGGCTCAAGCACAACTCCGCAAAGCGGAGTGCTTGCAGGTAGGGGTGTTGTGGTGACCGGTTTATGACTGAGTATGCTTCATTTACGCTCTTCGTGGCAGAAAGGCGTTCCAGAGATGCAGATTCTTGACAAGCGAGCCGACGAATGTATGTAGGCAAAAGTCGCCGGGCGTTTGTTTGCGTTTCCTTCTAAGATGCCATCCATGTCGATAAGCCATGGACTCAAGCGGCACCTTACCGGATCTTGTAACGCTGGAGCCTTTGCATGCCCTGGGTTCAGTGAAGCTTTACAGGGGACCGGATGTCAAACTTGGACGTTGGTTGGTGAAAGGTTGGCACCTGCACCTGCCTTCGCCGACCTCCAGGGCCTCTCTACAGACACTGGGAATGCAGTGCGCGCACTCCATGTCGGAATCGTTCTGACAAGCCTATTGTGGCAGAATCTGCGGTCCAAGGATTTGATCCACCTATGGCAGGCCTCGCTATGTGCGCGTGCCATGGAGCAGTTTGTTTGGGGCCACAAGAAGTTATTTGGCTGTGGGTCAAAACCAATGGTACCATTTTGGGGTAGGTGCACCACCCAATTTATTCTATTTTACCAGAGATTGGGATGTTCATTGGGGATACGGGCTTTTGAACCATAGCCATTTGGATCCGTGCCCGGGTCTTTCTGGCCAGGTGGTCGGGGCCACAACTGATGAGCAGCAGGCGGCTGCGGAGGCATGCTGCCTTGGACCAAAGGCAAAGCCTGTGAGGGTTTCCCAGGTACAAATGCTTTGCCTTGGTGGCTCCCAGCCATCCGGTTCCTTAGCCTTTGAGCTTCTTAGTGTTTAGGGGTAGCTTTCATTTGACCCACTAAAAGTTAAGCTTTGAGTGGGGGATCTGAGGGCTGCCCAGTCACTATTGACCGAGCATGGCAGGCGTGAAGGTCAACCACATTCCTCCTGGTTCAACTGGTTGAACTTGAGCCAGTGCGTCTCACCCTTCCGCGAACAGGTAAGTTTGGCAAAGCAAGCACACATGGGCAACGTAGACAAATGTTAGCAAGAACTGCCGAACCGAACGTTGATTCACATCCTATTCAGTTCCAGTAACGCATGTTTGCGTTTGTTTTCTCATTCTGTTCACACGCAAAGGCAATTCTGGGTAAATTGGCATCGCAGTTTGCTTGCCCAACCCTGGTGCCCATCTTTCTTTGTTGCAAGTGTGGTCGTCGCCCAATCCCTCGGAACCATTTCAGCTCACCATTTCTTGTGCTTCAAACTGCGCCAAGTGCGCAGTGCGCTTCCTGCGCAAAAGCGCAGGCAGTGGTGGCCGCAGCCTGCCAGGCTGCCGCAGCATCCCTGGAAGCGTGGCTTCCTGAGCACTTTCGGCGCTTGCCAGCTTTCAAGTGAGCCTGCTGCCTCGCCCGTTTTTCACCTTGTGAGAATTCCGGAGCCGCAGAGGCTGTTTTTCCCTTTCTCCTTTGGAGCTGCGTATGAATCCGAGCTTACGGGTTCCAAGTTTGCTTGTGTCCAGGGTTTGGCCAGTACTCGCCAGCACATGGGCTAAGTTGCGGCAAACCACTTGCAGTATGAGCCATGCATCGATGCCACCATGATTTGTCGCCATGACTTGTCACCATGACTTGTCACCATGACTTGTCACCAGTATGAGCCATGCATCGATGGCAATGTGAGTTGCAACAACTTTGCTCCTGAGGTGGAAGGCCCGCCGCGAGTCTTTGCAGAAGGAATGCCAGGCCTCTTGCGCAACTGGCGGCCGGGCGCGGCATTTCGTGCGCGTGAGGAGTTGGAAGAGTCTATCAAGCAGCAAGTGCCGAAGCTCGTCGAGGGGCACTTCTTGCAGGACCGGAAAGCTGTGATCTGAGAGGGTTTGCTTCTAGCCGGAATTTTTGCAGAAGCAGGCAAAGCCAGGCTGTTATTTGTGGCAGTGGCCTGCGCGCGCGTGATGAGTGCTGCAACAGGACTTGGCAAAAGCCTTGGGGTGTCCGCTCCAGCAGCAGGCTGCTGCTCTACGGCAGCTTTCGCAAGAGGTGTGCCAAGCCGTGGCAGTGCAAGAGCGTTTGAAGCAAGGGCTGGCAGCAGCTTGCATCCTGGCATGGAATATATATATATATATACGTCCTCATGCAGAGCATTTATGGGTAGATTGATCTCGGAGCTGTTATTTGCCTGTTTTGTCCATGTGTTCTCAATATTTCGAACTTCTCTTCGGGTGCATCTGTTTTCGAGGGTACCGATTTTGGGTGGCTTTACAGAAAAGCCCAAGGGAAGACCCCCTCCTCCCCCCCCCCCCCCCACCCCGGCCAACCAAAAAAAGACGAGGCCCCCTCTTCGGATCTCCGAGGCGCCGCATTGGGGATGGATCTGGACGTGGAGGGCTTGAGCCCCGAGCAGCTGGCTGCAGAGGTCCGGCGACGAGAGCAGCAGCTGCGAGAGGAGTACCTGGCAGCGCTGCGGGCTTTGGGATTGAACCCAGAGGCAGGTTTGGACGTGGCGACAGCTTTTCATACATTTTGTTTCACATACACATGTTTGTATTTATAAGTTTTCACGTGTGTTAGGTGTGTTTTGAGAGACATCTAGGCAATCTACTGTAAATTTCGAACCCTTTGTTTCCATTCTGTTTGTTTTTCGTCACCAAACGTGGCATGCAGGACTTCCCGGAGGGCGACCTGGGCGCCATGGCCCAGCGGCTCATCGAGCTGCAGGCGCAGCTCCGCCAGTTGCGGCAGCAGGCGCTGGCCCACGCCCAAGGCGCCCGAGCGATTTGGAGCGAGCTGAAGCGGAGCCCGGAGCTCCCGCGGGATGCGGAGGCCCAAGACCTGGCGGATGGCCCGCCGGCGGCGGTCACGGCGGCTGTGGCGTCCAAAGTGCTGGCGAGTCTGCGCGCGTGGGAAGCGCAGCGGGAGGTGGCCGCTGAAGAGGCGGAAAGACTTCACGGGCTCATTCGGGGTCACTGGGCCCAGCCAGAGGCTGGGAGTGAGGGCTCCGGCCAAAACAAGCCCGCATGACATCTGCATTTTTGTTTTCTGCATGATCACCGGAGGCCTTCCTGGAACAACACGGTGGAATACACGAAGCAGACCTGAAGGCCCAGTGGATGCATGTTGCAACCTCCCATGCGAGTCCATGCGCTGATTGTTTGTCACCCTTGCACGCCAGAATGTGCGGGGGTCATTTTTCAGCAGTCCTTTGATGGTTTGGAACCAGCCTCCAAGCCACCGGGCTCCGAATCAATGGTCCGGTGAATTGAAAGGCCAAATGGCTGTTGTCAATGGTACCATTTTGGGGTAGGTGAATTCCACCCATGTTCGAACCTATTTTAGTGGGGATTGGACCCCGGTAAGTGGAGACATGGACCAAAACCTGCGGTTTGCCCCTGGCTAATGTTGAGCCACAATAGCCACACCCAAATTGAGGTGGTGAATCTTTTCAAGAGGAATCCAAATCACCGAGTGGGGCTCAGGCCTGCTCCCAGAAGCTGCAGCAGCTGCGGGAGGAGTGCCGGCGCGCGGAGGCGCCTCTGCGCCGGGGCTTGCAGCAGCTCTACCACAAGACGGGCTGCGCCTGGACACGACGGCTGTTTTTTTTGTGTTTTACTGAGTTGTTGAAAGCAAATCGGCCTTTTAACCTTTTGGTTCTCCCTTTTTGGTCTACTTTTAGTGAAGGTCCCAAAAGGTGACTCTTAGAGCTGGAACTCAAAAGCCATCAAAAACCCCACGCTCCGCCGGCGGACCGTGGGGTTTGTTAAGTGGCTTTGCCTTTTTGGGGATGCGGAAGCGGTGAGCAATGGTCGCTTCATCCAGACGCACCATTTGAACAATGCGTTTGATTGAAGGGAGAGCATTAAGTTAAATAAGAGTTGTTTTGCCTGCACGGGCGGAACAGGGATGGAACGAGCGTGGGTGAAATGGTCCTGACCATGCCATATGCACATTATCAGGAGGTGCGGGTCGAGACACCGGATTCACGGCCGCAATGTGCTTCCAAGTCAGTGTTCAGCTTCACTGGCAGATGTCTCGGAAGCCATGGCTCCCTGCAGCCTGCTGCAACCTGAAATGCGCTAGCCAGTGGTTTCCAGCGACCCTTGCCCAAGGTGTTTTCTCCCTCGCAGTCGGTTTTTCCTTGGAGCACCATGGTCTTTTTGTGACCTCTGGCGAATCTGGCCGGAGGAAGGCAGCTTTGCAAGATTCAGAGCGTGGTTTCCAGATGTCCCAGGTACCAAGGAGAAGGCCTCAAAACATCACTGGCAGCCCAGGTGACCTGGAGCTTTTGGAGTCGTGCTACCAGGAGGTGGAGCAAGCCACCGGCGCCAAGCAACGCCTCAAGCTGCTAGAGAAGGAAACGCAGCGGATGGAGGAGTACCTGGAGTCCCTTCGGGTTCCTCCTTCGCAAGTGGCGAAATTTGTGAGTGTTTGTTTATTGCTTTGGGGAATTGAGCCTCTCCTTGTTGAGGGTACATGGGAACCTCTCCTTGGCCTCCAAACCACCAAGTAGTGGGAAGCTGATTTGAGGCGCCGGTAGCTTGAGCAGGTCCATGGTGCCGAGGTCATCCTTGGGCAGCGCGAGGAACTGAAGGCTTTGGTGGTTGCTGGGGAATGCTTCGAAAGGGCAGCGCAAGCAGGTGCAGGACGTTGAATGGCATGGCTTGTTGGCATGCCACTGCCAAGTGATGTTGAAGTCTTGCGTGGCTTATTGCTGCGCGCGTTTCTTGTCCAGCATTCCAGGTTGCCAGAAATGCCTTATTTTTGTTTGATCCTTTCAGCCCTGTGTTCGCTTTCACGCAAGGGTGTGCGAGCACGTGAGGACGTTGGGTGGGTTCCAGCAAACACTTCCTGGAGGAGGAGAAGTTTCGCAAACGAGCTTCGGCACCAATGGGAAATCAGCTCGACTTGGCTCGTTTTCTGACTGCAGGCTTTATCCGCCAGTACCCCGACCTTCGCGACAAGCTGATTCTTTCTATCGAGCAGTGGGAGGGCACTCATCAGAAGCCCTTCAAGCACCAGGGCATTGCTTTGGGAGAGCCTGGGCATGTGTTGCTTCGAAGTGTTTCTTACAGCACTGCTGATATCCGGAGCTTGCGGTTTTTTGTTTTTTTGCATCGGCCTTTAGAGAGGGCCTGTGAGTCCAGTATGCTTCGTCCCTCTCGAGGATCGTCTTCGGGATCTGCGGGATCATGGGGTCGCGCTGGCCAGCGCCAAAGGGGATCTCTCCATCATGGCGGTCTTGTTGCAGGGGCTCTCAGCGAAGATCGATGGGTTTCCTTCTGGGTTTCGGGCGAAGTTGCCGCTGTTGGAGAAGTGAGCAATGACTTCGCTGGGTTCCGGGACTTGAAAAACGGTTTGGGAACATTTTAAGTGGTAGGCACAAAGTTTGGACCTTTTTTGGCCAATTCACTCAGGAAGTGAGATAATACAAGGAGGCAAAGTGAGACCTTTTTTTTTGGTGCAGCCCCAAGGCAGCAACACGGCAAGCCATTCTCGTCGCTGAGGGAAGCACTCGCCATGCATAAGGAGAAGGTTCCAAAATCTGCCAAGCGCTTGGTCTTGGACAAGCATTGCTGAGTGTCAGCTGCACGCAATCTGAATACAGGCAGCAAAAGGTGATCGAGCAGGCAAATTGCCTCATTTGCCCTCACCACCCTCCAAGGCCGGCGATGAATTAGGAGCGATTCAAAGCTCACACCGCCATGGCTTATATATATATATGTATATATATATATATTGCACACTTGAGACAAACACACTACCGCGTAGTGTGTTTTGTCACTCCATGTCCATGGCAAAGATGGCGACTTTTTTTTCGCTGGGCCAGGGTGGCATGGGCCGATCCAGTTCAGATGCTTGGCAAATGCGATGCACAAATTCCGCATCGGTGTCAAGCTCCCGTGCCCAGGACGCCACTATGCCGAAAAGGTCTTCATCCCCAACACGAAAGCTGAAGAAGCAGCAGTACCTTGACATCCAGAAACCAATTGAAAGCACATGCCTTGTTCATTGGCCAAGCTTGGGCGATGCGCTGCTTGCCTTCCAGTTGCACGCGATTTTTTGGCACCTCAAGCAGTTCAGGCAGTGATGGCTTGCTTTGGGCAAAGCGAACAAGGAAGAACGCCTTTGTTGGTTCTCATTCCGCAGTGCTTAAGGTCTGCAGCGAGCCTGACTCGCTTGCCGCCGATTTGATGAGTCTGACTTGTTGGTTCACACGCCCGTGCATGAATGCAGGGGCGGCGCAGTTCAGCGCTACTAATTCACATGAGCCACGCTCAACACCCTTACTCGGGGTGAACATGGGTGATCATGGATCCCTTCAAAGAGCACCATGATCACCTCGCCCCAATTCAGAGAACCATGGCCACCCAGCCCCCGCACCAGGAGTTTTAATCATGGCTCATGAAACGTGCTCGAGTTTTTCGCCCCTACCTCCAGAGAGGTTGATGTGCTTTATTGGACGCTCATGGTTGCTGTGCTTTTTGCAAGCTTTGAAAAAGACTGCAGGGCTTCAGCATTTATACCGACTGCGCGCCACAGACAAAAGGTTAAGCCGCCCCGGGGCCTGCCGCTTTCAGCTTCAGTTGCACGACTGAGAAGCTTCCGTACTGATGTTGCTTAGTGAGCGGAGCTTGATGCCAAGGATGCTGCGCTGATGCAGCATGGCGTCACAAGCCACAATGCCGCCGGGGGACCTGGTGTCATCAGGGCGGGCACTGAAAAGCAGCTCCAGAAATTGGACGAAGTAGTTTGTTCCTGCATTCATAGGCCCTTGAGGGCTTTGCACTCGATTGCACCATGTCTTGCTGCCTGTCAGAGCAGCAAGGATGTAGTTACAAAGCCTCCTCTTGACCTAGTTCGAACAGCAGGGATGAAACATGAAGGCTGCACTGGGTTCCAGGAAGCAACTAGCTGGCCAAACCGCTTGCCCATCGGCTTGACGCAGGTGTTGCTTCGTGACGCCCTGTCCAAGGAGTTCAAGGGACCCAGCTGGGCACCTGGCGTTTTACGGGCTGCCGCCGGGTGCTTCCTCCCTGGTGCTAAACATCACTCATATTTTTGTCAAGGCCTTGATGCGGTTGAAGTTCTCTTAGTGATTTATGGACAAGCCCACATTCTGGCACGCCACAATGCGTGCACAAGCAAACGTGGAGGCTAGCAAACCAGTTTACGTTTGGTGACTGTCGCGGGGGTCGCACTTGAGCCGCCAGACATGCCTCATACGCTTATCTTCGACTACCCATCGTGCCGACCTCATTGCCCAAGCGCGGCGTGTGAACAAACAGGCGCCCATGGCCACGGAATCATGCCATCAACTGGCAATGGCCCGCACTGCCGAAGCCACTCGTCAACACTTTCAGCAATTTGGCCTCCAAGGGTCAGCGACCTCACTGACTACATCCTGGATAGGGCACAGCGGTGAGCTGGCAACCCCGAAACGCCACCTGCGGCTTTCCGTGCATTGAAGATCTGCCACCAGCGGCTGAAAATGAGATGTTTGCACTGTTTGCACATCGGATCAGGGTTTATGAAGGCGCAAGGACCTGAGGACCCTGCAGCGCTGGGCTCAAGGCAAGCGCAGTGCAAGCGCACCGTGTGCGCGCGGGTGCGTCGGTGCGTGGGTGACGCAGAGCCGCCACTCGGAGGCTTGCTGTTGGGAGTGGCGGAGCTTTGAAGTTGCTCGCTAAAGCAGCTGGCTCGGGAGGTGCCACAGAAGACTGGCAGGTTGATTTTGTGGAAGCCACTCCAAACTCAGAAGCCACTTGTGCTTGACAAGTGCAATGGAATGGGTGTTCCGATCATTTGCACACGTTTGCCTCCGTCCACACTTGTTGGGATTGCTCCGGCATGCTGTTTTGGCTCTTTCCTAGACGGCTGTCCTGTGCAAAGATGTGCTGGAAGAGGCTGGAAGCATGAAATCATGCAGGCACCACGCTGCTGTGAGCGTGCCGTTCTTTTGAAACGGGCCTGGGCTGCACCAGTTCGGAGAGGAACACCTGGATTTGAGCGGAGAAGTCTGTGAGTCACCTGGCTTTGGTCACACGGACAGTTGATTGCCGGGGAGCAAAAGGTGTTGGTGCTTCTTAGGGCTGGAGGAGCTGTGCATGGGCATGGCAATTTGTCCAGCCTCAGAGTTCAAATTCATTCCCGGCAAGGGATGGATGCTGCAGTGCGTAGTGCGCATCGAGATCTTTACAGGGCACCCAACCAGAGACACTTGGCTGTCGGGATTCAACTCCAGACCTCGCAGTCAGCCCTGTTGGGGTGTTCGTGCAGCCACTCTTTATTAACTTGGATGCCAGCATCGCTCAGGATGCAGCTCCACGCGCAGAAGCGCCGCAAGTCATGCAACTGGCTACTTGGCAAAGAGCACATTTTCAAATTAGGCCAACGCTGGTCAAAGCTGCCTTTGAGGACGCACGTTGATGTCCAGCGGCAGCGCAGTGCTTTCGGTGAGGACTGAGCAGAGGGCGCTCAATGTGTCCACTTGCGCCGGACATGCTTGTTGGTCGCCATTGCTTGAGGATGTTAAGATCCTGCTCGGGTCTGCAACAAGTCAGGGCAATCCAAAGCAAAATATGTTGAGCCTGGGTACCACACCTCAAGAAAGTGGGGCCAGGCATTTGGCAAAGGTGTCGCCCAACAGCAGCTGCGCTGGCTGGGTCAGATTTGCCTAGAGGTATGCGCGCGTGGCACCAATACACCTCCTGGGGCTGCACAAACTTGTCCACCAACAACTGCAGAATAGAAGCCTTTGAAAAGTATTGACAGGGTCAAAATGAATATTTTGGGCAGCCTGGTGCATTCTTGCTTTGAATTTGACAGGGTAGGGGATGATGGCTTTGAGATGCACTGACGAGCGCAATTACATTTGAATTCCATAATGGATAAGAGCAGAAACCTTCAACAAGCAGTTGCAAAGCAGTGAGTCGCAATGGGCTGTGAGTGGATTTTGACCGGTTTGGATACCGAGGCCCTGTGCAGCTTGACTAGTTAGACACACAATCGCAGTTATACCAGTCAAATGCGGTATCAGGACGGCTCGCACTCTGAGCCCATCCTCCCCAAGCTAGTCCTAAATCCGCCGCTGGAAGCGTCGCATTCTTCTGCAGTGGCCAAGGAGTAGTCAAACTCAAAACAGTTGTTTAAAAGCGCAAACGTTGATCACCCTTGTGCGGCGCCCTCGCCTGAGGAGGGGGCAAGGGCAAAAGCTTCAAAGTCCCAGCATCCTCACGGCCCAATTTTGTTTCAAGCGTGTCAGATTTTCTCGCGGCTAGATTTTACATGTTTCGATTCAGGTGCTCAAACATGTGAGACATGTCCGATGAACCGAACCCTTGCAATGGGGCTCAAGAGCTTCACATAGACATCTGTGGCAGGCAGCATGCTGTTTTGAAACCTGTCCACGGGCGCATGGATCTCACCCGAGGGTTGCTTTTAAGGGAACATGGTCCAAGGCTGTGGGTCAGAACCAATGCTACCATCTTGGGGTGGTTGCGCCACCCAGTTTAGTCGATAGTGGGGATTGGGATGTTCACTGGGGGTACGATTTGGATTTTGACCCATGGCAAGATGAGTGGGTGATCTTTGAGAATGGCAAACCCTCGCTTCGACCTCACTGGTTGGCGAGCAACTCGGGCTTCCGGTCAGGAAGCCTACTTTGCGGGACCTGGAAATGCAGCAAGAGAACGCTGCCCTGGCAAAGCGCCTTATGTCAGCCACAGGGCAGCAACCATCTGAGACTGATCCTTCCCCAAATGAATATGCTACCCTATGGAACTATGGAGCCAGGGGGTCCCTTGAAAAGGCGCGCCCTCTCTAATGATAAGTATTCTTCTTGGAAAGGCAATTGTTTTAGTTCGTCCCAGGTCTACCAAGGACTGACTTCGGTTCTTGTCCACAAACCCTCTCATTTTTGCCAAGCACTGACGCCATCAAAATAGTATTTTGCTACAAAAGCAGTTGAAATAGAATAGTTCAAGGCACTCAAGCAAGGCTGCGTTCTTGGGTAATTTCTCCAAGCCTGATACAACGGGAGTTCGGGTCAGCGAAGAATTTGTCGTTTTAGTATTGGTTAAGTATTGGGCACATTCTTGCTTAGTATTGGGGGGGCTGCGGATGTGGGAAACATCTTGTTTGGCAATTGTGTTCATTCTTAGCCAATGAGTCTATAGCAGTTTAAAGCAATACAAGATGCGAGCGAGTACAAACCATTGAGCGGAGCGCTAAAAATTCTGTGTTCCAAGCCTGGATGTTTATAGAATGGATGCATCATGTGGCACATGATTTTAACCTTCCCAGATGACTGGAGGAACCTGGCCGGCAGGTGAAGTCCACCTTTGATCCCCAGAAGGATCTGGAGGAGTACCGCCGCCACCAGCGCATGGTACAAGTTCGACAGGACATTTGCAGTGTCACAAGCAGGCGGTTTCGCACCTGACGCATGGGAGCCGCACTTTCTGGCGGATGAAAGGGTACAAAAAGGAGACCGCTTTTTATGTTTGAGTATAGGCAAAGTAGCTGGGCACGTAGGCTGGCGTGGGCAATTCCCGTACATCACTGTGTTTTGCGTTGCGTAGTCAGGCAAGCATCGGATGATGCAGGATAGAGTGAATTTTGCCCTGAAGCTTTCACGTTTTCGGGTGGTTGAGGCTACACGAGGGAGAGTGACTACATGGTAGCAATTTGATTTGCGCCGATGCATGTCAGCCTGGATATTTCAAGACGGAGCTGCATAGGCTCTCACGTGGCTCGGGGCCCATTCCGTGAGTCCATCCCTTTCTGGACGGACCAGCGCCGCTGCTTATGTTAAGCTTCTTGGTTCAATCTGCAGCTGCTTAAAGACGCCAAAGGATCAGAAGCGGGCCGAAAACGTGGCCCTGCGCGTGAAGTCGGCTCGTCCGCACACTCTGGGAACGGGTTCGGACACGGCACGGCCGCGCGCTGTATTTGCAAGCCTTCAAACGTGAGCCCTTTGCACACCTTGGGCGGCAAAAACTTGTGACGATATGGGAATGCCATTGCCTTGAGTCTCGCTGCCGCCCGCCCAGCGCGCACCCACGCCAGTGGGACGAATTTTCCGATGGCACGAGAGAGTGAGAGCGAGATTTGTTTTTACAATTTTTGCTTTGCTCGCGTGACCCGCTGCAGGCTTCCGGGGGTCAATCTCAAACAACTTGTGCTTGAAAGCGAAGGGGATAGAGATAGGGAAGACAAAGAAGAAGAGAAAGCGAAAGTGGAAAGACAAAGAAGCGAAGAAAGAGAAAGAGACAGAAGACTAAGAAAAGAAAGAGAAGAAGAAGACACGTACGGAGAAAGAAAGAAGAAGAAGACGAAGAGAAAGAGAAGGAGAAGCAGAAGCAAGCAGAACGTGGAAAACAATTCGAATGAGAAAGAGCAAGAAGAGAGAGAGAGAGAGAGAGAGAGCGAAAGAGAAAGAGAAAGAAGAAAAGAAAGATAAATAGCCAGACACCGAGAAAGAGAGATAGATAAAGAAGAAGAGAAAGACAGACATAAGGAGAAGGAGAAGGAGAACGAGAAAGAGCGATCCAAACACATGTTCTGTTATGTTTGCCCCCCGGCACTGCCGGACTCCAGTAGTATAAACTATAAGCATTGAACAGCTGCAAGCAGGCAATGCATGACTCGGCATATAAAGCTTGAGGTAGCAAAGCGGCTTGCGAAGTCATTTGCGTATGCAACAAACACGCAAAACGAGCGCTTACGCCGTGTGGTTGCACACCTTGACCCCATCGCTCCGTTCTAAGAGTTGCAAACAGTTATCTCACAAGCAGGCGGGCCAAAGTGCATGTGGCCCATTGAAGGCTGCAGTTTGTCGTTGGGTCAGTCAGGCGCGTTGTTTCTTTTCTTGTGCAGGAGTTCCGGGATAGCTGCTCGGCAGCATTCAGGTTTGCAAGCCGGTGCAAGTGTCTGGGAAATTGCCGCGCAAACCAAGCAAGTACTTCATTTTCCTGAGGCTTTGCATAGTCAGTGGGCAAGCCGCCCCAGTCCCAAGCCGGCAAATGTTCCAGCAGTTGTTGTAGGGACAGCTGTTCAATCACTCGCAGGCATCAACAAGATTGTTTGTTCAGGTTCCATTACCCCGACAAGTTGTTTTGCCGCAGTGGACCGCGAAGCTAAAAGGTGCCTGGGACACAAGCGGCGGAAAGCGATGCGCAAAATGCTTCCGCCCCCACATCACCAAGGCACACTTGGTTAAGCTGCCTGAGTTGACCCCGGATTAATGAACCCCCGTTTATGAATGTGGGGGTGCTCCCCTCCAAAAGTTATAAATCCTCACTAAACCCAAGGACCCCCCAATATTAATAAACAGGGGTGTCCTAAGCCAGGGTCAACATTAGAGGCGTCCAGATCGATCAGCCTTGAGGCAAAGTGCTGCCTGCACCCAAGTACGAGCCGCACATGTCACGGCCAAAAGTGGCAGCAAGCGCCTTGTACTCAAATGGTTGTGCTCGACGCCACCACAGAGATCACTTTCAAAAATTGTTACTAGGCTTTCCCATTTGCGCCTAGGACAAGAATATGATATGTGTTTCATACTGCCCACTTCCTGGGAACGGAAGGTTTGTTTTTGTAGAAGCAAGAGTTTTGGAGAACTTTCAAAGACGTGCTTTGTTTACTTGGAAGGAGGGTTAGCGCATGTTGCTGGCTTGGAGAGGCCCATTCGTTCGTGCCATCGACGTGTCCGTGTTGGGAATTCTTGCAGAAAGAAGCAACACCGAGGCATCTCACAACCCAATCTCCATCATCTCGATGCTCTTCTTTGCCCTTGGGATTTGCCGTCCAAGGCGTGCCGTTGATGCAGGGTGAAGCCTTTGTTTTTTTGGACATGTCCGCTGTCAATTGCACACAAACGCCCAGTGCATCACAAGCTGCTCCTTGGGCATTCTATGATAGAGCGCCGCAGCAATCCAGTCCCCCTCGCAACTCCTCCAAACATGAAATTTGGCTGGGTCAAAAGCCAAGCCATTTGCTGTTATTTGGTCCTGGACGAAAGCCACATGAGGTTTACGGCCCCAAAATGTTCAACTCGGAAACATGCAGAAAGGGAGCATGGGCTTTGTAGTGGTTCTTAAGGGTCCCCTGATACGGCGCTTATACAACTCAAATTGGGGTCAAAGGGGAACATCGCTAGCTGTGTGTTGGCTTAGAAGCGGGTGCTTTGAAGCTTGACGTAACATGTTTGACGATTGAGGGGTACCTTTAGATGTCATTTGACTTACGCAGCGCACCAGGCTGCCCATTGATTAACTCGGACATGACGGTTGGGGGGACCTTTAGTAGTAAGCCGTGAATCTTTGTCCGCGTGCATGCGCGCAGAACTTGCAGCTTTCAGGCCTCGGCCTCCAGGAGAAGCAAAGATGAGACACCTGAGGTGGGGCAGTGTCGGCGGAAATCAGGCTGTAGCAAAACGGACGGTTCGAAGTTTCAGGTGTTCAACAGATTTGCCATGCTTATTTTTGATGATTGTACTACAGCCTCAAGTACAGCCACAAACTATGCATTTTTATGCGTTTCAGGTTCTCTTGATCAAGCTGGAATCATTGAGCAAAGGGTTGAGGATCGGCACCCTGAGATTGACAGAGCAACATCCGGTTATCTGCTACGCCCGGTCTTCAATTTGCATCTTTCCCTTCATATCCCGCAACCAGCTGTGAGCCGGAAGGACAGTTTTAGGGCACATCCGCGGGCGTGTTTTTATTCGAGAGCGGAGAGTCCCCAATCCCAAAGGAATCCGATTCATTGGTCCGGACGGCAAGAATCCGGAGGATGCTGAGGCTTCCTAGCGTTTGACTTGTATTCGCCTCCAGTGGCAAAGGTCCGGGGTCCTTGATGTTCCCAGAAAGCCATGCCCAAAGCAACTGCCGTTTTGCTGGCTGCAGGCGAAGATCGGACATGCAGACGCAGCACCAGGCGTAACTGCAGATGCAGCAGCGGATGTGCAGAGCAGTGCGGAACCTGAGTCGCACGAAGCGGCAAAATCGTTGGCTGGCCAAGCACAGCCATCACTGCAAGAGTCGCAGTCGTCCTTGGAGCCTAAAGAGGCACTGGAGCTACCTGAGCAGCCACAACTTGAGCTGGCAGCGCAGCCCGCAGTGCAGCCGGCAGCACAGCCAGCTACAGGGCTGGCACCGCAGCCATTGCCAGCATTGCAACCTGCATTGCAGCCACCCCTGCAACCAACACCCGAACCTCAGCCGGAAACAAAACCGTCATTTTCGCAGCTTCAGCCAACACCATCCTTTGTGCCACAACTTGAACTGGGACCGCAGCAGGGAGCGCAGCCAGCCCTGAATGCAGGCTTTTCCCCTATGCCGCAGTCCCAATCACCGTTGCAGCTGCAGCTGAATCCAGCATTGACGTCCGAGCCACAACCACACCTTCAGCTACAGCCTTCGCAGCCGCAATCGCAGTCACAATTGCAGCCGTTGCAGCCGTTGCAGCTGTTGCAGCCGTTGCAGCCGTTGCAGCCTACAGCATTGCCAACTCACCCACACCTGCAATCATCCTTTGCGCCACAACTTGAACTGGGACCGCAGCAGGGAGCGCAGCCAGCCCTGAATGCAGGCTTTTCCGCTATGCCGCAGTCCCAATCACCGTTGCAGCCGCAGCTGAATCCAGCATTGACGTCCGAGCCACAACCACACCTTCAGCTGCAGCCTTCGCAGCCGCAATTGCAGTCACAATTGCAGCCGTTGCAGCCGTTGCAGCCGTTGCAGCCGTTGCAGCCGTTGCAGCCTACAGCATTGCCAACTCACCCACACCTGACATCATCCTTTGCGCCACAACTTGAACTGGGACCGCAGCAGGGAGCGCAGCCAGCCCTGAATGCAGGCTTTTCCCCTATGCCGCAGTCCCAATCGCCGTTGCAGCCGCAGCTGAATCCAGCATTGACGTCCGAGCCACAACCACACCTTCAGCTACAATCTTCGCAGCCGCAATCGCAATCACAATTGCAGCCGTTGCAGCCTTTGCAGCCTACAGCATTGCCAAGCCACTCACACCAGCAGCCATGGTTGTCACCCGAGACGCAGCCCCAAGCGCAATCGCAGCAGGCAGCAGAAAGGGGGCAGGAATCCGAGCAGCAGCCGGCCCAAGTCATGACATGTTTGCCTCAGTATGATCCAGACAGCATATTCATAAATGGCTGTGGGTCAAAACCAATGGTACCATTTTGGGGATGTAAAAACTGAGGGTACGATTTGGCTTTTGACCCATGGCCAATATCAAGAAAGGACTCAGATTGAAATGGCCCCAGCGTTGATACCATCAAACCTAAGGCTAGGAGGAGTCAGCCCGGACGTCCACAAGGAGCCCTCCGCGAGATCAGCAGGGCCCTGAGTCACAGCTACTCACACCGAGAGGTTTTCGATTTTTTGGCTTGTCAAGAGTTTGTGATAGGTGCAAGTAACTGCGGCAAGTAGCAAAGGAGCTTCTGGAACTTGAAATCCAAGGCAAACGCCCCGGAGGAAGAGGTCAGAGAAGGCCAGTCTCCGACACGGGACATGAGCGTTCCAACTCCTTCGCGGCTTTTGGGAGTTTGATCCTTCCTGTTTCTTCCTGTCAGGGCCAGATGCTTCCCCCTGGACCTTGCCACCTCAACCAAAGTCGCTTGGGATGCAAGGCTTGTGAGCAATGCCAAGCACGAACAAAGCATGTCCGTGGCGGAGAGTCGGAAGATGGGTTGGTTGGTCAATGAACGATTTCAAAACGGTCCATCTACGGCAGATGGAATCCAACACGCGCATTTAGGAGCATCAAGATATTCAAAGTGAACGATCATCAGCACGTTTTGCCGAGCCAATGGCTCAAGAACTGCAGATGACACCAACATTCTTACCACTAACAGTTTCGAGCCTGAGAAGATTACAAGCATGATACCGCACATGGGAAGTTCAGGATGCTGCAGGTCTAAGCATTAAGCAACGGTTTCGTTCAATGTTACAAGGTCGCTTTAAGAGAAGCAGCCGGCGAAAAGTTGGTCGGGTTTTAGGGTTGGTTTTGGCACGGCAAGGGACGAGGATGCATGGCTTCACTTGAATAAACAAGCCACCTCACAGGCTCACAACCTTCACGGGACCGGCTCCCCGGACCTGTCACAAAAGACCCTTGGTTCCAGTGCCCGGCTCAGGGGAGATCGGCATGCAGACCCATTCGGCGACTTGGATTTCTTCGCTGATGCTGAGCCAAAGCCTGACAAGAGGCCCAGGCGTAGACGCGTAGACGCGTAGACGCATAGACGATGGCATGACGGTGACGTCTTGCGTAGCGAACATAGGTGCAACGTTCCCAGCTGAATCGCTGGGAGCTTTCCACGGCGAGGTGTTTTTGCCCATTGGGTTGCCAAAAGGCACTTGAACATCTTAGATGTGCAGCAATCAGCTGCCAGCTGCTTTGCAGCAGTGCTTTCTGAATGGGGCTGATCCGGTGCCCTCGTGTCACTCAGTTACCCCCTGATGTCTTTCCCGTGGGACGCGAAGCGTGCTCTGGACTGGGTGGCTGGTGGAGCCAAAAAACGAGAAGCTCAATAAAGCAGGATAGATATTTGCCTGCTGCCTTCGATTGGCGTGAAACAATTTTGAAAGACTCCAGGATGAACAAAACAAAATGCTACACTGGATTTTGTCTAGAATCCCTTGACCCAAGAGCAAAGAAGGACCCTCCAATAGAATGATCGGCTTGGGAACCATATTCCCGAAAGCACCGCGAAGGGTTCTGTGTCAAACAGGGCCAGCCCTGATTGGGCAGCTCCGCTTGCACAACTCCCCCTGCACAGCACAGCCTGCCCGGCTCTGTTTGAGCTGCTCTTGCACCGCAAGCCGCGCTTGCACAGCTGCGCTTGATGACCCCTGCTTGCACAGCGGCCCTTGCGAATTTTGCTTTCACAGCTCTGCTCACACAGCTCTGCCAACAAGGCGGCTCCTGCCCCGCGTCGGCGGGATGAACCGCTTCGTATGAGCATTGGCTAGTTCTTGTCTCTGCGTGCGTGGCTGCCGTTGCTTCATCCAAATCCCTGCAAGAGTGGTCTGTTTTATAAGTAGCTGTGGGGGAAAGCGAGCTCACCATGATAGAGGCCCTTAGCTTGGGGATCCCTGAATTCAGCTTTTGGAATTGTAGGTTTTTTTTGCAGAAGCAGCTTTGGCACTGCCAGGAATGACGATACTGCCATCCATCATGAGTAGCAGTCAGCTGGCCAAAGGCGGGCAGAGCTTCGCAGAACTGCCTTCGGCTACTGAAGGGTCGTTTCCCGGCCGAAACAAAATGTGCAGTGCGCGCCCAATTTTGGTGTCGCATGTTTGAGGCCACATATATCACACTTCCTCCATGCCTCCCCGAAGCAGAACATTGTCTCCAGCGCAGCTGCCTCAGCTAGCATTGGTTGTTTGTCCTGAAGGCCGTACAAAGTCGGGGTGGGCTGTTGCTGATTGACTCCGCTTCCCACTGTTCCAGTTGTAAAAGAATGGTCGTGCCACCAACTGCCAGACTTTGGTTTGTGGATGTGCGACAGCAACTTGATGTAGACGCATTTGGGCTTGCGAGCTGGCGGCGACAAGGCACACCTTGAGACACGGGTCCTTGGATGAGTCGCCCGGGCCTCCAAGCTACCAGTTGCACGTGTGACGTGGATGTGGCACCCAGTTGGCTGAAGCTCTTCGCATTGCTCGTGAGAAATGTTCGAAGCTGATCATAGCTTCTCACAGGACGAAGTCCCGAACGAGGAGATCTGAAAGTGGGCGCAACGATGTTGGGAACAGTAGCCCTGTCAGAGGTGAACATTCAGATATGCTTGAAACTGTAATGTAGCCTTGAAATGTGTGTTGCTTTCCGTCCCTTCGGGCCTCAACTTCGCATTGCCTAGCTGTTCAGAAGTTTCAAGCCGTGACACTGCCGGAGGACAGAGTGGCTCAGTACAGACCTCGCCAAGATGTCAGGCAAGCGGCATGTGCAGTCAAGGCTTCCAATGGGCTTGCACAGCATAATCATAGCCTTGCTGGCATCTATTCAAAACTCAAAAGTGAGCTGTTCCATGTAGGGCGCCAGCTCAACGACAAACGATCCATTTGGGGCAGCTTCTGCTGACGGGGACGGCATAAGACTCTGGTGCTGGGGATGCTACAGAGCCCTCACAGCAGGAGCCCTCCTGAGTTCTGCAAGCATTCATTCGCTTACTGCCGATGAATCTGAGCTGTTCAATGTTTTTTTTTTGTTGTTTCTTTCTTTTTTTATGATGTTATATGATGTTGGCGCCGATGCGGCAGGTGCGTAACTCTTGGATCGATTTAAGCAAAAGGTCAAAGTTTGTTGCTGGCCTTCATGATGCGGCTTCAGGCTGCTATGATACCTTTGACTGTAAGACTGTAAGCGATCGGCCACAGATTGCTAAAGGCTTGTTTAGTGGAAAGGCTTCCGAAGCAAGGCTTGGCTTCAAACTGGTTTGTCCTCCTTTGATTTGATTTGCTAGATAATTTAATGCTTGGCCCTTGCTTCTTTCAAGATAGTTGGTTAGCGGCCGCAGGGGAGATCCGCAACATCCACGTGTTCCAGACTCAGTCATCCCTGCAGCTGGAGGGGTCAGCTTAGAAGGTGCTTTGCATGTGAATCGAGTTGACCCGGCATTCTTGCACTTGGGGGTTTTGTTGGTTTTTGCCGAGCTTGATACTTCCCACACACACACACACACACATACACACACGCACGCACACGCGCCGCACAAAAACTTCCGCTCTGCCTTTCAGAACAGCTCTGCCATGAAAAGGCTGGGCATCATCCACGGGAACTTGGTGGTTAGTTTCCAGGGAGCCGGCCGGCGGCTCAAACTCGAGACAGACGCTGTCCTAACCGCAGCATGGCCTCGCTTTCGCGAGCTCTTCCTTGTGAGCGGACGAGACAATCAAAACCCGGGTAGATGAAGGTTAGGAAGGGCAGTCCCAGCCGGAAATAGGTGCGGCCGCCTTTTCAGTTCCTTGCATGGCCCTGGGTTCACCATTTTTTGTATCAGGTTTTGATTATGACTCAGGTAGAGTTCGGGTTTTCGTCAACAACGAGCACAGCCGGGGCCTCGCTCATGCTGCGGTCCTGGGCGCAACCCATGGCTCAGGCCTCGAGCTGCCGGAAACCAATCGCCTGGGAAGCACCTCGCCCTTCGGTCAGCGCCCCAGCGCCTCACCTGGGAGCACTGTTTGAACCGGCACGAAGGCATCGATTGGACCAAGAAGTACAGCCAGAAGCCCAGAAGACACCATTGCATCCGGCGAAACAGAGATGTCTCAAGCGAGCGCTGTGACCGCCAGCCGCCTGCAGTGCGGAGCTTCCGCACGAGAGAGTTTCATTAGACCGACCTTGCTCAATTGAGGTTGTATTTTTCTGGATTTTTGAGCGTTACCATAATACGGATGCCTTCATCTTAGTGCTCCGTTTTCACTGCAACACGATAAAGAGTGAGGGACGACAACCATCACAGGAAGAACCACTGCGAGAACATAGCTTGTTGCTCAAAGTGTGTACTGCACCTGTACTGAATTGATATTTTCGAGCT